TGGTGAGGACTGAATGGAGGCCCCGCTCTAGAGCAGCCTGTGCCTGTCGCCAGTATTGATGGGGTTAGCGGCCGTTTACGTGAAAGGCCAGTCTCCAGATGGCCCTGTGGGTTGACACCCGCCGTTGGTTGCCACTGTACTGGTGCGGGATTTGTCGGTGCTTTCAGGAGGTGGTCTTGGCTTTCAAGGTCTTTTTTTTTTTTTTTTTTTTTAAGATCTTATTTATTTATTTGACGGACAGAGATCACAAGTAGGCAGAGAGGGGGAAGCAGGCTTCCTACTGAGCGGAGAGCCCAATACGGGGCTCCATCCAGGACTCCAGGATCACGACCCAAGCCAAAGGCAGAGGCCTTAACCCACTGAGCCACCCAGGCGCCCCTCAAGGTCTCTTAATGTGAGAAAATCTGCAGCTGGAAGGATGTTTCTTTCAGAAACATCTGTGCAGAAGCACTTTGGGTTGCTTCCAGACTGGCTGAGCATCACTGGGACTCAGGGGTGGGAAACTGGCCTTTGGGAAAGAATTGGTTCCCACACATCCTTGCTGCTGCCGGCCCTGGCACTGGCTTGGACACGTTAATGGGTTGTGAATTTAGTCTTGTGGCCTCTTGCCTCCTTTGATGCGGAGTAAAGTTCCTTGTTGTCCATCTGCTATGAAAGCCAAAGTGGGGTCGTGTTTTAACCTTTTACCAAGCCCGCGGCTGCTCGTGGACCACCAGTTGGTGGATGTGCTGTCCATCACTGGATTTATATGGGGACATAATTTATTTGCAGGATCAAGCCAGAGAGAATTATTGGGACGTTTCCGCTAGCCATCCTGTCTTTGAAAATTGAAAGGTCTCATAGATCTGGTCGAGTCAGTGACGTTTACATGATCCATAGCTTTCCTGGTTCCCAAGGTTGATTTTTTTTTTTTTTTTAAGATTTTATTTATTTACTTGACAGTTCACAAGTAGGCAGAGGGGTGGGGCGGGGTGGGGGGAGCAGGCTCCCTGCTGAGCTGAGAGCCTGATGTGGGGCTCCATCCCAGGACCCTGAGATCATGACCTGAGCCAAAGGCAGAGGCTTAACAGACTGAACCACCCAGATGGCCCCCAAAGGTTAATCTTAATATTTCTGTTATTTTTGAACTTCGTTTAGGTTGTGCGAGGACACTACAAAGGTCAGCAGATTGGCAAGGTCGTCCAGGTTTACAGGAAGAAGTACGTCATCTACATTGAACGAGTGCAGCGAGAAAAGGCGAATGGCACAACCGTCCATGTGGGCATCCACCCTAGCAAGGTAGGTGTTGCTGAGAATGCCCGAGAGAAGAGAAGGAATTTACAGGAGGTGTTGGCAAATGTGGTTCCTTGTTCGCAGCGCCCTCCCAGAGAGAATCCCTGATTTTAGAGGTTCTAGAAACCAGTCTTAAAAGCCAACACAGTATTTGAATGGAGTTCTAGAAACCAGACTGAAATTTTTTATGAGACCAGGGCACCTTGACGAGTCATTATGTATATTTAATGTATCTTCTCCTTAAAAAGCTATGGTGAACAAATCTTAAAATCTAGGAAATAGGGTCATTTTTCTATTAAATGGAGCGGATAGCCTGTTCATTCTCAGTATTAAAGCTGAGTAAGCAAGGGCGCCTGGGGGATTCAGTCAGTTAAGTGTCCCTTTTGGTTTTGGCTCAGGTCATGACCTCAGTGTCCTGGGATTGACGCCCTCAAGTGGGGCTCTCCACTCAGCGTAGAGCTTGCTTGAGATTCCCTCTTCCTTTGCCCCTCCCACTAATGCACTGTCTCACTCCTGCTCGCACTCTCCCTCTCCCTCTAAAATAAATAAATAAATCTTAAAAAGTAAATAAAGCTGGGTAAGCAGGATGTCCGTTCTACAACCCTGTGAAGTATTTACAAATGGGGAAAAAACCGAAGCCCGAAAGCTAAGATCTCATGGATAGTGGTAGTGTCTGAGCCAGCATAGAAAATCTGGTCTGTTTCCCATGCAGGTGCCTGTCTGGAACTTGGATGTGAATTCTCAGATACTGTCATTTCTTGCTTCTGGTTTTTAAAAGATCTTACGATGCTGCCATAAATCTGTTTCCAAACTACAGGAAAGTTGGAAGGATTGCTGTGGCAATACTCCTGCATCTCTTTCACCTCGAATTCACTATTAATGTTTTCCTGTGTTTTCTTTACCTCTCTTCCCTACCCCCAGTGCATTACCAGCGTGGTGACACTTCCCTCTAATTCCTTTAGTATGTGTCTTCTGGGAGCAAGGACTTTGCTGTTCTCTGGCCTTCGCCAGTCCTGTGTCTGTCCCACCAGTCCAGGTCACCAACTAGTGATTGCTTCTTGGTCTTTTCCAGGTAGCACAGTGTAGGATGTAAGTTTCCTTCACTGTGGCTCAGTGATTGTTTTCATCTCTTTATTTCAGTCTAAGGACTTCAGACCTCTAAAGGCAGAGGACTCTGGCCCGGACCTCAACACCCAGTTACCTGTTTTGCATTTTAGCTTGAATTTCTGATGGGTAACATCAAACCTAATGTGTTCAGACTTCTGATTCTGTCCACAGTTTGCCACCATCACAGTGTATGGCAGCTCTGTCCTCCCAATTGCTCATTTTAGTAGTGGGAGTAACAAAGTTGTAGTCTTTTAGCAAGATTGGTGATTATGATGCAATATTGTGTATATATCACTACTGCTGATCATATCTGTAGAACTTAAAAGTTTCTAAGTTGCTTTTTCTTTTTTTTTAATTTTAAGATTTTTTTTTTTTTTTTAAAGATTTTATTTATTTGACAGACAGAGATCACAAGTAGGCAGAGGCAGGCAGAGAGAGAGGAAGGGAAGCAGACTCCCTGCTGAGTGGAGAGTCCGATGCGGGACTCGATCCCAGCACCCTGGGACCATGACCTGAGCCAAAGGCAGAGGCTTTAATCCACTGAGCCACTCAGGTGCCCCTAAGATTATTTATTTATTTATTTGACACACAAAGTGAGATCACAAGTAGGCAGAGAGGCAGGCGGGAGGCGGGGGAAGCAGGCTCCCCACTGAGCAGAGAGCCCGATGGGGGGCTCGATCCCAGGACCCTGAGATCATGACCTGAGCCGAAGGCAGAGGCTTAACCCACTGAGCCACACAGGCGCCCCAGTTTGTAAGTTTATACCTTAACATCTGTACTGTCTGCCATCCCTTGCTGACCATTTTAATCTTGTCACAAGTTTGACTTTTTACAGTAGTACCTGTCCCCGCCATCATAACAGTGTTTGTCCATCTGACGTCTCTCACCATAATGTGCTCAAGGTTTCAGGTGTCTGAGTGTAGCCTTAACTGTAGGGCCTTGTTTGATCACCCTATAGGATTTAGCCCCTGCTCACCAGTGTCCTTAGTCTCCCCCATATTACCTGTTTTTCTGTATATCAGAGTCTGACATATATCCACGTCCTTTGTTTTCTCTCTTCCCATACCAAAGTACAGGCTCCGTGATAGCAGAGATTTCTTTTTGGTGGTTTTGCTGTGTTCCCAAACCTGGTTCAGTGCTCTTTGCCCCTGTTCCTCGCCTTCCTTCGTAAGACCTAAATTTACCATCACCTGGAGACCTTTAACTATTAGATTTGTCTCAAGAAGAATCTATACTCTGGTTTTGTGGGTCGAAGCTACATTTATACTCCAACTTGATGATTCTCAAGTTTCGGTAGAAACAACAATGTGTATGACTTGCTTAGCTTGTGAAGCTGGTAACTCTAGAAGTGTTTTGTTTCTCTGCAGGTGGTTATCACTAGACTAAAACTGGACAAAGACCGCAAAAAGATCCTCGAACGGAAAGCCAAATCTCGCCAAGTAGGAAAGGAAAAGGGCAAATACAAGGAAGAAACAATTGAGAAGATGCAGGAGTGAAGTAGTCTTCTCTGTGACTTGAAATAAAAACTGTTAAAATGAAGAGCATTTGTTTTCTGTGTGGGGCTTGGGGAAAACGCCCCCCTGCCAGCCGGTGGGTTTTCCGGGAAGTCGGGTGGCATTTGCTGCTGGAGGCAGGGCCCCCATCCTGGGCCTGACTGTGCTAAAGAAAAATACTATCTGGGTAGAGGGGGTTTTCCCATTTGAGCACCAACTCTTTAGTCACCGAGAGTAATGAGATTCTGATAACATAGTGGGGGTGTCCCCCTTATTAGAGCAGGCAGTTTTGGGGGGGGGCGTCATGGCTCACTGAGAGGAAAGCCCAGATGAAGAGACCTGTGGGCTACCGCCCCAACCTGCTGTCTGCTGCCAGGTGACAACTATGTAGGTGTGCACGTGGCGTGCCAAGCGAGGAGCCACTGCCCCCAGCTGTGCTCATCCTTTACCCTAATCTCGCAGGCGCTGGTGCCACTCGGAGGAGTGCCATAGCGCCAAAATCTCAGCGCAAATGCTTACGTTGCAGTTCGAAGTAAACGTTCCTTTGAAACGTGGGTTCCCGGGGCTCCGTGAAGAGGCGCCAGCCTCTCCTTTACCAGGAAGCTTCTAGATGCAGAATGAGGGATGCAGCTCACTTTCCTCACTTCCTGATCGCGGGCTTTGCAACAGCGTGAGGGACGGGGTCAGCGGCTCGCTCTGCCAAGGTCACGCACAGGCCGGCCGCAGGTACCCCCAACCCCAGCGACAGCCGAAGGACAGGCGGCGAAAACCCCTAGCAGGACCCCGTCGGGGATTTAAAAAGATGCCCGGCGGGGGCGGGGCTTCCGGCCGGCGCCGAGCGGCTTCCGGTGCGGGGGGCGGCGGCGGCGGCGGGAGGTGTGGCGGCAGCAGGACTGGGGCCCGCGGCGGCGGGGGAGGGGAAGACGGGCCCCCGACGCCGTGACCCCCGGCGCATCCCCCTCACAGCCCAGGCCTCTGGCCTCGGTTCGGCAGCCATCGGTCCTCCCCGCGTCTCCCGGCCTCGCTCATTGGTTCACCCCCGAACTCGCCGTCCTTGCGGGGGTCGGGGGCGGCGATCGGCGGGCGGAGCGGGGGTTGCGGACGGGCGTGCAGGGAGGAAGACCACGCACTCAGGGGAGGTGGCGCCCGCAGCCGGTCTCCAGGAGCGGGCGGGACGTCTGTCGGAGGATGAGGGGAGGCTCTGCTAAGTGCTTCACCTGCGTTATCCCCGCGTCTGCATCAGGAAACCAGTCCCTCTGTTGTGGCTGAGGGAGCTGAAGCCCAGTAACTCCGCCCGGGGCAGGGACACACCCCTCAGCCCTCCCCTTGCCAGCCTCGCCCCTGCACCTGCACGGGGAGCGTCTGCCTACCGTCCTCCGAGCATCTTTTGTCTCGCCGGATCCTTGGCCGTCTGAGGGAATACCGCCCGGTAGAGGGCTCAGCGCCTACCTTCGAGGTTGTGTACGCCCGGACCAGTCGACGACGAACACAAGATCAAGTGCTCCAGAGACCGGGCTGTCCAGAGGCCGGAGCGGTGGCAATCGGCTGGAGTCGCTGGACGCATCAGGAAGGCGGCTGAGTTCACAGGACCAACGAAAGGGCCTTCCAGGTCTGGGACGCCAAAGCAAAGACTCACAGGTGGGTGAGGGCGGGAGATGGCTCCAGCTTTCTCTAACCAAGGTCATGTATCCGTAGTTACCCCGCCGTCGCAGACCGCGTGAGGAAGCTCGACACAGTTCTTTCCTGCTGCTGTGGAACAGGTGCTGAAAACCCAGACGACCGCAGGGAGGGGCAGATAAGGTGGACACGTTAGTAGGGCGCTTAGGGACGCTGGGAAACGGGAGAGTGCGGGCTCTTCTAACCCGATCTGCGGCCAGTTGTTGCCAAGCCGCCAAGCTCCCAGGATGGCCAGATTGTCCCCTTTTCCAAGAAGGGCAGCCAAGATTCCTCTATGAAATCCCATCTGTACCTATAGGTAAATCGTTCCTATAGGTAAATACCTATAGGTAAAAAACAAACACTGATGGACTAACCAAAATAGGCCCGTTAGCTAAATGTGGCTTTTCCTAGCATATTGTGAGGACTGTGTCTCAGATTAAAGGCTGAGATTTTGCATCTTTTCACTATAAATTATTCCCAACCTGTCTTCATTCTTTTATAGGATGAAGATGAAGCTTTTGCTTCCCTTACAGTCCCCTGAAGGGCCTCAAATAGCAGCCAGGGCAGCCACTCAATTAGAGCTGCTGGTTTCAGGGAGGAGTCTGGAAGGTGCTTTCCTGGATCCTGCTGAATATCTCGTGGTCTCTTCTGAGGACCTTTGGCTGTGGGATGATAACATATTCCTTTTAAACGTGATTAAATGATTAAATGTGACTGGTAGGGGCGCCTGGGTGGCTCACTCCATTAAGCATCTGCCTCCAGCTCGGGTTATGATCCCAGGGTCCTGGGATAGAGCCCCACGTTGGGTTCCCTGCTCAGTGGGAATCCTGCTTCTCCCTCTGCAGCTCCCCCTGCTGTGCTCTCCCTGTCAAATAAATACATTCTTATAAATAAGTGTGACTAGTAGATGAAACAAACTGGTTTATTTACTGCAGAACTTCTCAGAGCCTTTAAAAAAAAAAAAGATTTGAGAGACAGTGGGCGCTCATCAGCAGGGAGAGGGGCAAACGTAAAGAATCTCAAACAGACTCTGCTGCGGAGACCCACGTGATGGACCCTGAGATCACGACCTGAGTTCAAAACCAAGAGTCAGACGTTTAACCAACTGAGCCACCCAGGTGCCCCCTCTGAACCTTTAAAATGTCCATTTACACTAAGGATCTTAAGCTCACACTTAAACAGCATTTGCAAACATTTTATTTCTTCAACACTGAAATGTATGTTTTCCACATATATTAATCTGGATGTGTTCATTTAACGTAGTTCCTTTGTTTTTTCCCCTCAAAAAAAGTCATCAGAAAGTCAGCAGTTTTATAGTCAGCAGAGTCTTAGAATCAGAACTGTTCTGTGGTCAGCCAGTGATGCTCAGCACGAGAATTTGAAGCCTTTTTAGGGGAGAACCTTCCAGACCTCAGCCTAACTGAGATGTTGCTCAGAGCTTTGAAGCCTTTTCATCTTTCTCTGCTTTCCAGGGTTCTGCCCTGCCTCTTGGCTCTCCCTCTGAGGGTGGCATCCCAGGGATCTTGTTTTCTCCCCGATTGCCGTTACTCCTGTTATCACAAGAACTCTCCCCCTGGCCGCATCACCATCCTACAACCCGGAGTGGTTCTAAGGAACCTCAGTTGACTGTCAAGTTCTCTCCCTGAGGAATTCTCCTCTCTTGGTGGGGTGTGGACCAACGGGACTACCGCTTTTTGGCATAACAAGCTCCTGACAGCTCTGTCTGCACATAGGTGGTTTTTTTCCATCTCTGGAAACAGACAGAGCTGCCGCCTCTAGTCAGAGCTGTCAAGCCCGTATTGGAAGGGGTCTTCAGTCTTGGAATACCCAAGTTCACTTGGACTCTCTGCTTTGTTCTGGAAATATGTGGGCCTCAGCTCAGGCAGAATCAAAACAGTCTAGGCCTGCAGACCTCCCAGGAGGGCAGAACTTGTTTCCTCACCCATGAAGCTGGACTCCTCTGGTTGGATAGGAGACCATTTATTCCTTCTCCTGCCTTCCTTGTAACAGTCACATGATCACATTCTGAGTCACTGATGCTGGCGTGCCTTCATTCCTGGTACCCTCCACTGTCTCCCCCGGTCCTGCTGCAGCCACTCCTTAGCCCAGGCCCCGAGAATGGTCCCTATGGCACCAGCTGGTGTCATTTCAAGAGGTAGCGACATCTGAGGATATGCCAAATATGGCCAGTGTTTGAGAGCCTCTGGGAAGGCCTGCTGCATGGACACGATGCTGGACAGTTATGACAACGTGGTCCCTCAGGGTAAGGACTCAGTCTTCACTCACTACTCCTGTGTGCTGTCACCAGGGGGAAACTGTCATTCAAAAATTTCCCAGCACTTTCTCCTTGATTCTCCTAAAATGCAGACAGACTCTTCGGCCCCAAGAAATCGATTACATTGATTGTGGGAAAGCTAAAAAAGCCCCTTCCTGGGGCTCCTGGGTGGCTCAGTGGGTTAAAGCCTCTGCCTTCGGCTCAGGTCATGATCCCAGGGTCCTGGGATCGAGCCCTGCATCGGGCTCTCTGCTCGGTGGGGAGCCTGCTTCCTCCTCTCTCTCTCTCTGCCTCTGCCTACTTGTGATCTCTGTCTGTCAAATAAATAAATACAATCTTTAAAAAAAAAAAAAAAAGCCCCTTCCTGGTGCTTACTTCAGGTTCAACTTTGCAGTTATCATGGTGCCTTCCAGCAACATTCTCCCATTTATATTATCTTAAATGTTACTGAGGGAGAGTGTCCATCTACTGCCTGAAGCATTTCCATGTATCCTCTCTCCTACTCATGTAATAAATAAAGACCAGTTAACTAGGTTTCACTTAAAGAGTGAATAGTTTCATTCACTCTGTTTGCCTAAAGTCTAAAATTACTACATATTTCCATATATATCTTAGTAACTTTAAATTCTCTTGACACGCTTGGGTTTTGAGCAGTCTCGGTTGCTTTCTAGTTGATTTATTTTGTTGCTGCTTTTATACTATTCCTCTGTGATCTTCCTTTTCTGTGGTAGTCTTCAAAAATCAGATGAAGAATGAGGAACCTGGGAGGGAAAGTCTCCCAGAGGGAATATCGGGGATTTTAACTCTGTTTTCTCTCTCCCTGTCTTAGGCTCCTTCTTACAGTTGTCCATGATGCCCCAGAAACCTGGAAATGACCCTCCTCATGTGTCCACTACAAGTGACACGGAAACGGAGATACGTGACATGAGAGAAAAGTTTCTTTCAAGTGTGACCAAGTTAGTAGAAAGCAAAAGTTACAACAGCAAGGTATTTTCCAAAGAAAAGTACTTTCAAACGATAAAGGAAGTCAAAGAAGCTAAGGAAAAGGGGAAGAAGTCCTCGCGTGACTACCGCCGTGCGGCAAAATACGACGTGATCTCCGTGCAAGGCACAGAGAAACTGATCGAGGCGACCCACGGAGAACGCGACCGAATTCGGTATTATGTGCATAAGGAAGAGTTGTTTGACATTCTCCATGATACACATCTCAACATTGGACACGGTGGGCGGACACGCATGCTCAAGGAGCTACAAGGAAAGTATGGGAATGTCACCAAAGAGGTCATTGTCTTGTACCTGACGCTCTGTAAACAGTGCTACCAGAAGAACCCGGTACCCAAGAGAGGTCTTGCCCTCAAGCCCATGCCTTCGAAGGACGCTGACTCCAGATGCCAAGTTGAGGTCCTGGACATGCAGTCAAATGCCGACGGTGAGTTCAAGTTTATCTTGTATTACCAGGACCGCTTAACCAAGTTTATTATTTTACGGCCGTTGAAAGCGAAGCGGGCCCGTGACGTGGTCAGTGTCCTCTTGGATGTCTTCACGATTCTTGGTACACCTCGTGTGTTAGACTCTGGCAGTGGCGTGGAGTTCACAAACCAGGTTGTGCATGAGCTCAGTGAGGTATGGCCAGACCTAAAGATTGCCTGTGGTAAGCAGCGCCCTGGCCAGGGCCCGGGCTCCCTGGAGCAAGTCAGCCACGATGTCAAGAACATGGTAAGGGCCTGGATGCAGAGTAACCGCTCACGTCACTGGGCAGAAGGCCTGAGATTCATACAGATGGTGAGGAATCAGCTGTTTGACGTGTCCCTGCAGCAAAGTCCATACGAGGCTATGTTTGGTTTTAAGGCCAAACTTGGGCTGTACTCTTCGCACTTACCCCGGGAAACCGTGGCCATCTTACAAACAGAGGAGGAGCTAGAAATTGCTGAAGAACAGCTAGAGAGTAGCCTTTGGATGGGGCAGGAAGAAAGGGCTGAGGTCGCAGCAGACAGATCTGATGTGGACGAGGACCTCGATCCCACCGCTCCAGAAGCAGCAGAGCCCAGCACCTCACATGGGGCCCCACGTCTCTTTTGCTGGTGACCAGGCACCTGCCGAGTGGGCGCCATACGGCCCTTGGGGAACTGCCACCAAATTCCCTGGGGAAAGGGGCTCGAAGGGTAGACCTTCCCGTCGGTCAAATTGTCCATGGCAGCCCTTGCTTGAAGGGGCAAACCTGGTGAGGTCTGTGACCTGGGGCCACCATGACAAATGACCGCAGTCTTAGCAGCCTAGAACAGCAGGAACTTACCCTCTCGTCCTTCTGGGGCCAGAAATTCAGAATCGGGGTGTTGGCAGGGTCTGCCTCTCCTGGAGGCCCCGAGGAAGAATCCATTCTGTGCCTCTGGCCTTTCTCTGATGGCTGTTGGCAATCCTTGGCTTGTACAAGGCCAGTCTCTGCCCCATCTTCCTGCGGGTCTCCACAGGGCCTCCTGCCCTCGGTCTCCATGTGTGTTCTCCTTTTCCATCTCTTAGAAGGACCCACTGGATACCAGATCCATGTCATTGGGTTTAAGGTCCACCCCAGTGGAGGGTGATCTCATCTCGAGAGCCTCCCCTAAATTATGTTTGCAAAGCCCCTTTCCCCAAGTGGGGTCAGAGTCTCAGGTACTCGGGGTTTGGCCCTGGGCATAACTTTCTGGGGGACAGAGTTCTACCAACTATGGAGGAGTGTGTTTGCCTGCAGGATGTGAACTGATGGGGTCTTACCTGTGAAGCTGATGGGGGTGCCCTCCCTATTTCTAGTAAGCATTCCTTCTGCCAAATCCTGCTCCTCAGACAATATCCGAAAAGACAGGGCACAGAGGAAAAGATGGAGATGAAGGACAAGTCACGAGAGAAGACGTGGACCCAGCACACCCTGGGGACTGGCCACCTCAGCACCTGCTCTCTATTTCCCGCCTCAAGAAAAACTGTAGGTGCCATCCCGGCTCTCAGAACAGCCTGTGCAGGAACGGTGTGACCTGCCTGGAAGGTACTTTAAAAGTTGGCCAGAATTAAGACATGGCTAGGATTTCAGTCTGAGTCTGCCGCTTGTCTCCGCCTTAAGAATAGCAAAGCATGTCTTTCTGGAACGGGTCAGTACATTCCAGGAAGCGACCAGTCGCCAGGGACTCTGGAGCAAAGGGCAAACATGGGCCAGATGTCCCTGCTCTGGCCAGAGGAGACTAGAGCAAGGGCCAGTCTGGGTCATGGTTCAGGGTAAGGAGAGCTGACCTGGACAAGGAGAAGGACAGTGCCTTGGATCTGGGTTCTGCTGTGTTCCCACGGCCAAGACAAAGGCCTAGCCCGCTGGAGATGTTCCGGGAGGATCTGTCGTGGGAACAAATAGTTCTACAGAGATGACCACGGGAAGGAGAAGGGTCTGGTCTTTATTCCCCCGTGCACCGTTCCTGCGTATCCTGGGGCCGTTCAGGCCCATTCTGATCACTCCTCGAGGCAGTTCCCTCCTCCCCAAGGGGCGGTACCTACCCCTACCCACAGAGGGGGCAACACTGCCTGCCTCACAGGGTTGTTGTGAGAACCAGAGAGAAGATGTGGGAAGGGCTTTGTCTAAACGCTGAGTTAGTTGTCCTTGCTACCAGCGGAGCCCATCCCCCACATGAAAGCTGGAGGCCTCTCCCCTTCCTCTGCTGGCTAAACAGTGGTACCAGGAGGCTACATGATTATTATTAGAAAGGAGGTGACAGCACCTTCCAGTTTGTTCCGGGGGTGGGGGTGGGGAATCCTGTTCCATCCTTGGCGGGGACCGCACTCTGCACTGCTCCTTTGTCACTCACCCTGGCCGGGTCTGGGAGGCCCTGCTCGACTCATGTTACGACACTCTTGCTAACCTACTGCCTCCTGGTTGCCAGGCAAACCAGGAACAGCATCATGGACCCAGGCAGGGGAGAGGTGAGATGAGGCACAGCAACCCCGCCTGCCCCAGGGAGGGGCTGCAGAGAACCCAGGTCTCCCGAGCTGCTGCAGCCCCTCCCTGGGTCTTCCTTCCCCTTTTCCTTCTTAATGCTGGCGGTGGGAGAAGTGTTAGAGGTGTACGCTGAGACCTGGCGTGGCCTTACTCTGCGTTTCAGCATCTGGAACAGGAGCTCCCAGGGTGGGAGCTTTCAGCGTGCAAATGTAGTTCGTGTGCGAAACTGAAAACTGTCACCACCATCACTCTCGAAAACCAGGTTTCACATACATCTCTAGAAAAGTTGGAAGACCTGGCCACACCAGGCCTGCGTCTTTGCATCACAGCAGAGTGGAGCTCAGTGGCAGCCCCCAGGGGGCAGTCTGCGCATGCATCCTCCAGGCGGCCACCGTCAGGCCCCTGCAGAATACGGGCAGGTGCATTTCTGTGGCCGTTGCTGGAGAAAGGCACGTGAAGTCAGAATATGAACCAAGGCCAGAAACCGACCTCTGTTTGCTTTAAGAATTTATGATAAAAGTGGCATTCCAGGGGCGCCTGGGTGACTCAGTGGGTTGAAGCCTCTGTATTCGGCTCAGGTCATGATCCCAGGTCCTGGGATCGAGCCCCACATCTGGCTCTCGGCTCAGCAGGGAGCCTGCTTCCCCCTTTCTCTCTGCCTGCCTCTCTGCCTACTTGTGATCTCTGTCTGTCAAATAAATAAATACATAAATCTTAAAAAAAAAAAAAAAGAAAGTGGCATTCCACATCAGCGAGAGGGGTGGCATTACTCCGTTAATGTGTTCAAGCAGGGAACACATGAAGTCTGATTCCGAAACAGGAAAGGAAACTACAAAAGTGTTGGGGGGAAGTGGGGGACTGCTGTGATCTTGGAATGGAGAAAACTTTCCTCAGCACTACAAGAAATTCAAAAGCCGTAAAAGGAAAAGCTAATACACTTGGCCCTCATGAAAATCTCAAACATCTGTGGAAAATCCTGGTTTAAAAAGTGAACAAAGAGGGGCGCCTGGGTGGCTCAGTGGGTTAAGCCACTGCCTTCGGCTCAGGTCATGATCCCAGGATCCTGGGATCGAGTCCCGCATCGGGCTCTCTGCTCAGCAGGGAGCCTGCTTCCCTTCCTCTCTCTCTGCCTGCCTCTCCACCTGCTTGTGATCTCTGTCAAATAAATAAATAAAATCTTAAAAAAAAAAAGTGAACAAAGATAAGTGACATTGGAAGAAAATACTTGCAACACCTAAAACATCCTCGTATTTGAAAAAAGTTTGCTTACAAATGAATAATGAAAAGAGGAACCAATAGTGAGTGAGCAGAGGCTAAAAGAAGGAAAAGAAATGGGTAATGCTTCACGTGTCTGTATGCACCTGCAGTGTGTTCAGAGAACCCCGAGGCTGTTCGTTTCACAAAACAGACTCAAGTTATCTGAGAATCTTAATGTTCTCCACTGTGCAGGGGAGAGAAGAGACACGAGCCTAGTGATCCTGTCTTGATGGGACAAACCTTACCGATAAGGAGCTACAGTGATTACTAGGTTATTTTCAAGACCGCTGTATTCGTTTCCCACGGCTGCCACCCCACAATGAACTGGGGGCTGAGACAACAGAAATGTATCGTGTCACGGTTCTGGAAGCCAGAAGTCTGAGATCAAGGTGTCCGCAGGTTTGGCTCCTTGCCAGGGTGCTGGGGAGACTTCCGTGCCTCTCCTAGTTTCTGGTAGCCTCAGGTGTCCCTGGGCTTGCAGATGACGTTTTCCCTATTCCTTCGCATCTGTGTGTCTGTCTGTCTCTGTGTCCAAGGGTCCCCTTCTAATAAGGACCCCATCATTGAATTGAACAATGAGGCAGAAGAGGAAATGTTGCTCAGAAAGGGCATCTAGCCCAAGATTCAGACCCAAGTCTTTCCAAGTCCAAGGTCAGCTCTTACAACCACCCCTCTTGCTTATGAATTTCTAGGGGTGCCCACTGCTCATGGGAAAATGGCTTAAACCTGATGGCCCAACTTGATGTGTAAGTCGGCACACAGTGTGGTCCCAACTCAGGCACAAGAGCAGCTTCGGTGGCCTCTGCGCTAGGCGTGTGATTTTTTCCACTGCCCTTGCCATAGGGAGAGAGGCCATCAGCCAGTCTAGGTCCTGCTAGAGTTGCTTATACTTGCCAAGGCTTGGTTCCCTCAACCCAGACCAGATGACTGAACCGGCCCAGATGAGTGTTCTTCCTACTCTCTGTGTCATGTGGAAACTGTCCTCTTGTACTTTTGTGCTTCCTGCCTCTCCCCAGAGCTCCATGCCGAAGCTCCCCATCAGGGCTCATGTCCCCGCTTCCAAGAAGGCCACAGAAGTTGGGAGACCCAGAGATAGATGCTTTAGCAAATCTTCTCCATCTGCCACTTTATCAGAACTAGTTTTATGTTGTGGGATAAAACCTGCTTTTCTGCAGCTCTCAGAGAAGAGGGACACTTTCTTCTGATATTTGTGAGATGCTGTTCCCAGTGGTTTTGTGAAGCCAAGCATCGGAGTGGCCTTAGCACTGAGAGAAGTGAGAGAAAGTGCCTGAGAACCTGACTTACACACTTGCTTCCCAATTATGTTGCAAGTTTTTTAGACAGGAGGGCACCAGACCATTAAAGCACGGTTTGCCAAGGCCAAGTTCAATCACTGTGCAGGTCAATTACCTTTGCCCAGTTACCTTAACCTTTCCCAGTCCCATAGCTTTGGGTTGTAGTATTTGAAGGGGGAGGTTTTGAATTTGTTTTTAAATGTTATTTACAAACCTTCCCACTTGATTGTGGACATTTTACAGAAATCAATTTAAAACCTGAGATACTTTTAAATATGAAAGAGAAAGAGTCCTTCCCAGGACTCTTGTTCCAAAAGTTAACCAATGGCAGAATCTGTTTGTCCCTGGAATCTTCTTCTGAATTTTGTCCAGAATCCTATCCCTTTGAATGTATTGAAACGTGGTTTCTCTTTTAGTTCCTGGTTCCTTTTATTGTTTTTATCTTGGCGCTAATCTTTGTTTACCCAGGTTCTGACATTTTTACCCCAGAATTAATTACCCCAGATGGTCTGCTCTCCTGTGTTTTCCAAGCAAACAAAGTGGGCAGGAAATAAGAGTTTCCTGAGCAAATCGGCCTTCCGTTTTAGTATGAGACTTTGCCTTTCAGAAGCTTGCTTCTTTCATGTCTACTTCTTCTATTTGTAATTGATTAAAGATTTTTTTCATTTGGATCTAATTAGATTTTACCTTCTCCCAATTCACAAGTAGTCCTAATATTTTGCCTTTTGCTTTCCTGAGTCTCTTTCGCAGAATCCACTGTTCTGTTTAATGTCAACTGTGACATCCTTTTTGTTGACCAGCTCCTCGCTCAGACCAGCTTCTCCACACCTGGAACTTTGGCTTCAGATCTCTTCTATTCTTCTAGGCACTTCTAGGCACTTCCCTTGACAGGACCGTGTGCTTTAGCAGCAGATGAGCTCTGAGGAGCCTTGCCTCTTGGCGTTTTGCACAGATGGGTCCCTCCTAACTTTGGTGAGTCATTCAGCAACCAGATATTTGCTTTTCTCCCCTCTCCGCTCTACCTCGAGCCCAGGGTGTGCTGTGCCCTGAAGGACAGCACCTTTCTTTCTGCCTTTCCGTGAGGCAGGAATCCTGGAAATGCCCCCCCTTACGTGCAGGGACCCCACCAGGATCTTTCTTCCAAGAGTAACCCATATCACCAGTAATAACCCAGTCGCAGAGCCCTCTACCTGAACTAGGGTTGGGCCAGGCTAGACACCTGAGGTCTGCCTCCTCTGTTGCAGAAACTTTCTGTACCCGGAAGAGAGCCTCCATACCCCCAGTCCTCTGCCCCTCACTTCCATCCATTCAATGCCTACAGACAACTGCTGTGTGCCAGGCGTGCGCTGGTCTGTGGAGGCACCACCAAGCCGGGGATCATGGTAGCGTACTACATGCTGACACAGGGACACGGCAGAGCCTTCTCAGCCATATCAGGGGCTCTGTGAAGGCCCCGCACGAAGGCCACTGAGCAGAGTGCTGAAAGAGGGTCTGCGCCTCACCCTTGAACATGCCCCATCCCGCCTACTGTGTATCAGAGGACTTCTCGCAGGCGGGATCATCCACAGAAAACCCGACCAGACGTCACCTTAACCCAGTGATCCAAATGAACACCTCCAGCATTTGTCCGACCCAACGTTTCTGCGACATTTATACCCCAAATGCATTACGTGCGTCTAATTATAATGAAACCAGATAAACCCAGATTGAGGGCCATCCTACAGACAGCTGGCCTGTGCTCTTCAAAAAGGTCGAAGCTGGGAAAGACAAAGACTGAAGGAAATAAAAAAAAGACTAAGGAACTGCCCCAGGAAAAGTGGGCTAAAAAGACATGGCAACTGAACGCGGTGCATGATCCCGAACTTTCTTTTGTCGTAATGGACGTTGTTGGGGCAGCTGGCAAATCTGAACATTGCCCGAAGCCTGCAGTGTTGTTCCGTCAGTGTTAATGTCCTGATCTTGAG